ATATATATATATATATATATATATATATATATATATATATCTCCTATCTAATGAAAGACAAAGATGCTAATTGACCATAACTTCACTACGCCTATCAGGCAATCAGCAATATGCAAATTAACTGCCAACAAAGATGGTGGCTAATTTGCATACTGCAGGCAGGGCAGGCCAGCGTGAGCTGCCAATCGGGCCCCCATGTGCTGCCCTGGGCGGCGGGGCTTGGTGGCGCGATCAGCAATCAGCCCAAGGAAGCCCTATTCTTGCAGGAATCTTCCTGCAACGGGCCTCTAGTTTACATATAATTGCAATATGTATAAAAAGTTACAATTGAGCTCTAGCCAGTTTGTGGATAGAGCATCAGACAGCGAACTGAAGGGTCCTGGGTTTGATTCCTGTCAAGAGCATATACTTTGGTTGAAGACTCAATCCCCAGCCCTGGCTGGGGCCATGTGGAAAGCAACCAATCGATGAGTCTCTCTCACATGGATGTTTCTCTATGTCTCTCCCTCTCTAAAAAAATCAATGGAAAAATATCCTTGGATGACCTCACCAGTTTGGCTCAGTGAACAGAGTGCCAGCTTGTGACTGAAAGGTCCTGGGTTCGATTCTGATAAAGGGCACATGCCCTGGTTGCAGGCTCGATCCCCAGTTGGGGACATACAGGAGGCAGCTGATCAATGATTCTCTCTCATCACTGATGTTTCTTTCTTTCCTTCTCCCTTCCTCTCTGAAATCAATAAATATGTATATATCTTCATCCTTGGGTGAGGATTAACAACAAAAAAGTTACAACTGAATCCCAACAAATTACTTTTATCTTATCTACATTTAGGGGACAACAATAATATTCACTCGATAGCGTTTCATGTTATATATACTACCTCACTGTATAAAATATAAGTCAGGATTTAACCCACATATACCATAAAAATTCAAGATAAAGAACCTAAATGTTTCAAAGATGTTTTTGATACTGAACTTCTTTTGTTCATTTGTTCAAATACAAAGGATAAAAATTGATTTCAGAGAGGAAGGGAGAGGGAGAGAAAGATAGAAACATCAATAATGAGAGAGAATCATCGATTGGCTGCCTCATCCATGCCCACTACTGGGGATCGAGCTCACAACCCGGGCATGTGGTCCTGACCGGAATCAAACCTGGGACCCTTCAGTCCACAGGCCGATGCTCTATCCACTGAGCAAAAACATCCAGGCCTAGAATACCATCCTGACACACTAAAGAATTAAGCGATTTTTCCCTTGGATATGTTAAGTACTATTGTAATTCAGCTCTTTAGAAATCAAAATATACAAACTCTAATGACCCTAGAAATAACAAAAATTCCTATAGCCTGTAGCGAACAGATGAGATGGCTAAGTAGAAAGAATATATCAGAGAGGAAAAATTTACACTAAGAAAGTATGTAGTTAGCAAATATAATGGCAGAGACACAAAAATTATCTAATATAGGGCTAGCCATTTTTATAAACCATTATCTAAAATGGCTAAAGTATGACAACCAAGCAACTTTTTTTCAGTGGAAATTTATAAAGGAAGTCAATGGGAAAGAGATTTATCTTATAGGACTTTATATGCCAGCCAAATTGTTTGAGGTATAATTATTAATCTAAATGATAGAGGTACATATGTATATATCACTGAATAATTAAAAATAGACATTCTATTATTAATGGCCAGTTAGGAGCATATTTTAATAGTCCACAGGTATAAAACTGTAAAAGAAATATACTTCTATATATAGGTAAATCACAAACAGTTTTCTGGGAAAGATGTTTACAGTAATTATTTTTGGATGAGAAAGTAGAAATCAGTATTAATATTTGGCTTTATGGCTTAAAGCTTTTAATTCATGTTATATTAAATAATAATAACAACTACAATTATTTTACTTGTTAGCATGCAAGTTCCTAAGGCTTATTCAACTTTGTAGGATGTTTGTTGAATTCATTCAATTATTGTTGGTTGTCAAATACGTAACTCACTCAGCAAAGTGTCTGCTATCTAAGAGGCATTATTCTACATACTGAAGGCAGTGGAGAAAATGAAAGACAAGCTACCTGCTTTCCAGGAGCTTTTTTTCAGTAGAGAACAAATAAATGAACAAAATAATGTCATTTCATAAGTGAAAAGTGCTATGAGGAAGCTAAGTAAGGCAGTGGTGTGACAGTGAAGAGCAGTTTAGGCTGGGGACAGCTCCTTTACTGAGGAAAGCGATCAAGGAAGACATCTTTCAGGCGATATGTGACCTGAGACATGAATTCTGAGGGAAGCCAGGCAGCAGGGGAGGCAAACAGAAAGGCCTGAGGTGGGAACAAGAAGAAAAATGCCAATATGACTAGAACTAAATTTACTTGTTATGTGTCAGGCACTGTTTTGTGTTTTCCAGATATTAACAGATAGTATTATCTCCAGATTAATAAATGGAGTGGGTAGAAATGTGGTACGGCAAACGTCAGGCAGGACAATGTCAGGAAGGACCTTACAGGACACAGTAAAGAATCTGGATTTTATTCTAATTAAAATGGGAAGCTATTGAAGATTTTAAGTATGAAAGTGACATGGTTTGGATTATGTTTTAAAAAATAACTGACTACTGCGTTGAGAATGGGTTAGACTGGGCCAGAAATGGAAAAGGCAGGGCCAGTTAGGAGCATATTTTAATAGTCCAGATGACAGATGATGCTACCGTAGGCCTGCACCTGAGGTAGCAGCAAAGATGGAAAGAAAATGGGTCTGGGGTATATTTTCAAGATAGAGTTGATAAAGGTTACTGATGGTCTTGGGTGAGAGTGATGGAGAAAAGTAAATTGAGTTCTTCAGTCTTAATAAATCGGTCAAGAAAGTATACAATGAACAAAGCTACAAAACCAGAATAGATACACTTTCTTAGTTATATATTACTTCTAAAAATCCTTTATTCCTACTAAAAATACTTACATTTCTTTCTACTTCAATCAGTCTGTCTTTCACTTTCAGAAGCTCTCTGGTTGTTTCTTGACTTTCTCGCTCCCATTTGTTATCTTCACTGGAAGTTGAAGGAGGGCTTTGTACCATCCTTTCCTCATCTTGTCTCTGTTTAAGGGCTTCATAATTCTTTTTCACCTAAAATTTGATTTAAAATATTTTAATGTGGAAAATAAATCATCCCAGTTCTGCTTCTTACAATTAATTTGACTCTGCACTGCTCTGGTGAATGTGAGACACGCTTTATTTAAAAATATGGTAAATAATATGTATAATTATCATTATTAGCATAATCACAATTTATGCTCTGTAAAATACAAATCCTTCCCTCTTAGAAATATTCAATACACTCTTCTTGTTTTTCTTTTTGTTAATCTTCACCGGAGGATCTTTTTTCATTGCTTTTTACAGAGTGGAAGGGATGGGGAGAAAGAGAGAGAAACATTGATGTGAGAGAGATTCTCTGCCTGTTTGCCTCCTGCATGTGCCTGACCGGCGCCGGGGATTGAGCCTGCAACTGATGTACGTGCCCTTGACCAGACTTGCAGCCACCATGCTTCAGTCCTTGGGCCAACACTCTAACCTCTGAGCTAAACCAGCTAGGGCATATACACTTTTTTTTTAATCTGTGATGCTCCTACAATATATTCTCTAATTTCATATCCTATTGTTTATGATGAAAATGTTGCTAAAGATCAAGATGTGCTGCTAATAATAGCAACCGTTTTAGAGCTCTATCTATAGCTGATTTAGAGATTTCAGAGATCCCCATGTAAACAACAATTAAAGATCTGACACAGTATTAATTCCTCTTAAAAAGAGATCTAAATTAAAACTGAGGATCTATATGTAGACACTTGCCCTTTTATGAAGGATATGTTGCCCAGAATGAGCTATGTTAAATAAATTAATGATTTCTTTATTGAGACCTTCATCTATCACATATAATTACTATAATTTATTTTATGAAGACTGAGCAATCCAAGGTTTTCTGGTATGACTACAACCAGATCATACTTTAAGAGAGCCAACTCAAAACTAGCAACTTGGTCATCTTACATTACCAAAATTGCTGATTAACTTAAATAGCTCTCTTCAATTTGAAATGATTATTGTTATACTTATCCTGAATCACTAGTTTATCCCAGGAGACATTTATCATAAATTTCTAAATTAACTTAAACTGTATATTAAGGCAAGGATAAATATTTAAAATAATTCAACATTTAATGCAAACCTTAAGAGAGCTTATAATTCAACAATAAAATTTGCTACTATTGAGTTAGAAAATAATGATGTGAGACTAAAGAAAAAGATGCCAAAATAGAATGTAATTTAAACCTTGGCAAGCGATCTAATAGGTGTTCTGGGATCCAGCTCCCCCCTCCCCCTTACTTTTACCACCCTAGTAACATAGATGGGTGACATCATTTCTAGTCTCCTATTTTACATTAATTTCCCACAGGTCTTTTCACCCCTAGGCTTAGAAAGGTTATAGACATATGCCATTAGTAAGAAGAACTGAGAATAAAACTCAAAAGTTTCTACCCTAACCAGTTTGGCTCAGTGAAAAGAGCATCGGCCTGCAGACTCAAGGGCATGTACCTTGGTTGCAGGCATATCGCCAGTAGGGGGTGTGCAGGAGGCAGGTGATCGATGTTTCTCTCTCATTGTTGTTTCTAACTCTCTATCCCTCTCCCTTTCTCTCTGTAAAAAATCAATAAAATATATTTTTTAAAAAAGCTTCTGATTTTTAGACCATTATTCTTACAACTAAGTTTCAAAAATGGTTTCTTTACCTTATGTATCATTAATCAGAATCTCTAATTTATGTTCACATAAACATAAAATATGATTTTTCATCAAGGTTTCTTAGCGGCAGCATATAGGTAGGATTTGCCTTTTTATCTAATCCATTAATCTCTGACTTTTACCTGAGGTATTAGACCTTTTACATTTAACTAGAGTCCCGGTGCACGAAATTTGTGCAGGAGTGTGTGTGTGTCCCTCAGCCTAGCCTGCACCCTCTCCATCTGGGACATCCCTCTCACAATCCAGGACTGCTGGCTCCCAACCGCTCGCCTGCCTGCCTGCCTGATTGCCCAGAACCACTTCTGCCTGCCAACCTGATCACCCCCTAACCACTCCCCTGCCAGCCTGATTGACGCCTAACTGCTCCCCTGTTGCTCTGGTTGCCCCTAACTGCCTTCCCCTGTTGGCCTGGTCACCCCTAACTGCCCGCCCCTGCAGGCCTGGTCCCCCCCAGCTGCCCTCCCTTGCAGGCCTGGTCCCCCCCAGCTGCCCTCCCCTGCAGGCCTGGTCCCCCCCCAACTGCCCTCCCCTGCTGGCCTGGTTGCCCCAACTGTCCTCCCCTGTCGGCCATCTTTGACCACATGGGGGTGGCCATTTTGTGTGTTGGAGTGATGGTCAATTTGCATATTACCTCTTTATTAGATAGGATGTGATTAGTGGTATGCTTTTATTTAAACCTGCCATTTGCTATTTATTTTCTATCTGTCCAATCTGTACTTTGCTCCACCTTTTTTATTTTCTTCCTTCTTTTGGATTTTTTATAATTCTATTTTATCTCTTTTGCTGGCATGTTAACCATACCTCTCTGTCATGCTATTTTTGTAGTTACTAGTACTTTAGAACTTATACTATTCATATTTAACTTTCATAGTCTATCTTCAAGTGATATACCTCTTCATGTATAGTACTAAAAGTTAGAACAGTATAATTATAGGTGAATACATGTTTATAGCAGTAAGCTAGTCCAATAGTAGTTATGCCAAAACGACTGGAAGTAAAAGATAATGATGTATTTTTAAGTCTCCACCTTTTAGACTAGAAATAGATATATACCAACCCATATCCAAACCTACTTATTTTCTAGCTGAGTAGCTTCATGAGTTGACTTTACTTGTAACCTAGTTATACTGCTCAATAGGGCAAAAAAAAAATTCAGGAAATAAAGCAGACTAATAAAATCTGGCACCAAATTTTACTTTATTTTTTGGATAATCCTTTATGTTAACTAAGCAAAGTTCTAGAATTTCTTCTACATAAATACTTGTTTCATGGTAATGTCTGAGATGAACACCAGCAGTGATGGTAAGGGCAAATAGGAAACAAAACCTTTTTCCTTTCTGCGTAAGAAATTCATCTTCGGTTAACTTTCTCCAATTTCATAAAATTGGAATGTTCTACATTACCAGGCAGGTTTGCTGAAGGGAAATAAGATCCCTGATTGGTAAATTGTATTTGGGCTGAGAGAACCATAAATACCTAATATGAAGCCATATCTTTGAACTTCTCTAAGTGCAGCAACTCTTAAAATTAGTAACAACTATTATGGAGATCTTAAATCTATACCTCTGGAGTTGTTGCAAGAGATGATAATTGCTGTGGAGCATGAAGTCTTAAAGCCAGGGCAGCTCCAACACACACCCCAATACGAATCTCACTTGCACCTGAACTGTCATCTGGTAGGAAGATGATTCTGAGACAACCCCTGTGAAGAACACTGGACAGTGCCCTGCTAGCTACTTGCATTTCCTATAGTGTTCCGAGCAAATGGTTCTAAATGTGGCCTGTAGTAATCTTACAAGTTTTAATGTTTAGTTACTATAAAACCATTCAAGGGAGCAATGCAGAGACAATAAGAGGGAGAATAAATCAGAATATGATACTCCCAATCTAGTATTATATTAACTCAATATAGGGCAAGTCTCTTCATATTCACTTTATTCATGTAAAGAAAACAGTTTTGTTTAATTCACCAAATAATTCTAAATATCACAAGAAAACAGATCTAGAAAAATACCCTCAACTTTATGAGGATGACATATGATTTCCCTCTACTTGGTGTTCTCGCACTTACAAATTTCCTATCAAACTTTTACCTGGATTCTCAATAGGAAAAGGGTGTCAAAATAAAGTGCCTGTCTCTCATTGAGACCTTTTACCCATAAAATAAGCCTGCCTTTTCCCTATCCCAACATATCAATTCTGGTATGTTCCTAACTGCATGGGTGACACACACACACGCATGAAATAGGATTGAATCAATTACAGTGTATAGACAAAATATAGTTTGTCAGAAACTACATGGCAAAAATCTGTTTAAGAACACCCTCAAATTTAAGAAAAAAACAAAATATTAATAAAATATTAAATTTTTATTTTCTATTTTATAATTTTCTCTCCAAATATTTAACAATTAAAATTATTTCCAAAGAAATCACTTACTGTTTTAAGTTCTTGGCGCAATTGCTGGTTATAATTTGTGGATTCTTCTAATCGAGCTTCTAAAGCAGCAATTTTTTCCTCTTTTATTTCAAGGGACTTCTTTAGAGTGGATTCTAATTTTGATTCCAAAAGTTTGTACCTACTATCCAAGTACAAAAATAGCAAAAGTTTGTTACTAGAGGTCAGAAAATTATTTTTAAAGATAATTTATGACTACAGATATTGGTGCCATAAATGGATCTTATACTTTAAGTGGCAAATTAAATTATTCTCCTCTTACTGCCCCAGTCTCCCCCTCTTAAACTATTCCTGGGAATGAAGAAACAAAAATCACTAAGTAAACAGAGCTTTAAATTATAGCCTAGGTTGTCTAAAGCAAAAATTATCTAATACTCAAACAGGCATTATATTTCTATTAGTTTTATAAGTCTCAAAACATGTATTTTAGTTTTATAAGAATAGAATCTATAAAAAGTAAAGGATTATTATATTATCAAACACTTGTCTACACTATTAAGTGTAAAGTATTTATATAAGAACATATTCATAGTTAAGACTTGAAACTCACTGAAGACTTTGTCTACAGGGTATAAAGTATATGCAGACAATAGGGTGGTGAAGGCCTGGTGTGGTGTGGGGGGGAAGAGTGCGAGCTAGAAGGGGGTCAAAGAAAAACAAAGGGACATATGTAATACTTTCAACAATAAAGATTAAAAAATAAATAATAAATGAAAGAATTGAGGCATTTAAGCACATAATCAAATAAAATATAACTTGCTTAAATTACATATTTCCCCTGAGAGGGGTTTGTTTGTTGTTAATGTCTCATTCTACTTTCACAGGCAATTATAGCTTTAGATCTTCTGCTATGTCACTGACAAACTGTATTTATGTAACATTTTAGCATTTTTTTCTTAGACAGTATTAGGCTGTCTTTACCCTAATTTTTTACTTTTTAAACATTTTTAAAAATTGATTTTAGAAAGGGAGAGGGAGAAAGAAACATTAATGAGACAGCACCAACAATTGGCTGCCTCCTGCATGCCCTCTAATGGGGAATGAGCCCGAAACCCAAACATGTGCCCTGACCAGGAATTGAACCAGTGACTTAATACTCACCTGTCATCTGTACTTTGCTCATCATGTAAGAGTCGCTCTTTATTTAACCCTATCTTCTCAAGCTCATGGGTTAATTTTTCAAGATCATTATTCATTTGTTGTGTCTTCAATTTTTCACTCACCAAATCCTTATTTTAAAAAGAATGCAAAACTCACATGAGTGTCAAGAACATAAACGTCTAAGAAATTTAGCCAAAATTCTAATTACCACCACCCAGGAATACATATAACTTGAAGGAGGAAAGACAGAATGTGATTGGACTTTCCCTTCCTCATTAAGAAGTAGTTATGAAACAATATAACATAGTCCAAACAGAATAGTTTTGTCTTTTTTTGGCTAATACTTCTTTTTATCTTTTTAATGTTTAAAACCAATGGAGAAACTATTTACTCTTTCCTTGTGAATCCACACCTCACATTTGACAACTGTGGGGAAAAACGCATATCCATTAATTTTTCAATAATAAGCTAGGACTTTAATGCATGTTTCTTCCTATACAACACCCTTTACCCACAAGCACCCTTCTCCCAGTGGAAGAGGATATAGGTCTGAAGAGCTAGGGGCATTCTGAGAGGTGCAGGCACAAGGAACCTGTTGCTCATGTCTGTGAGACTATAGAACAACAAAAGAAAAAAATGAATGTCTCATAGTGGTCCCTCTCCTCTCAATATCTCTTTAGCAGAAACACAGACTTTCCAATGTGACTTATTACAAGAATGCTAAGATACTTTTAAATTGAATTTAAAGGGTTATATATAGTATAGCATAGTAAAAGCAAAAACAAGCCAAGCATGTTATCTTCTGATCTACACCAACCACGTTTACAAGACTGTTACCAGTATACTCCTAGAAATTTCAAATTTCTCCTCAACACACAGATCTGAGCAACTACCAATTGTTCAATGTTGACCTTTAAGTTCAACCTGATTTGTATTCTTTAAGCTTAGAGGTCAAAATTCATGGGGCTTTGGAGTCTGAAAGATCTGGATTTGAATCTAGTAATCCAATTTTGCCATTTATTAACTGTCATCCTCAAAAAATTACTTAATGTCTCTAAACCTGTTTTCTAATCTAAGATAATACCTATAAAGAATTGGTCATAAAATATATATATATAATCTTACAAGGTCCTTAGCCCAGTACTTGGCACTGCTTGCGTTCAATAAATAGTGGCTATCATGGGTCCCATTATACTTAGCATTCAGTAAAGAGTCTTGATCACATATTTTTAATATTATTTTGAAATAAAATTACAATGTAATAAGTCAGATACCATATGGAAACTTAATTAGTACAAGATCTTAAAAATATAATATACATATACTTCTTAGTTTAACAAAGGCAGGAAAGTTGGAGACTTTCTAGTTATAATTCTAAATTTCTACTGTAGAGCCTTAAGTAGATGATACAAATTACTAATGGGTCTCAATGAAACTTACAGCCTTGATTTAAAAATATAAAAAATATTTGCTTTAAATTTAGGTAACTATACTTACCTCACGTAATGTAACCAAAGTTTTTATATCAATAGTTGCTCTTTTGACAAGCTCCTTATTTTCTTTCTCTAATTCTTTCAGACGAATGCAAGATTCTTTATAAATACCAATCTCCTTGAATAGAGTTCTGTTTTCTTTCTCTAAATTTCCAATTTTCACATTATTTTCTTCTAACGTGGTATCTTTTATTTCTGCTTGCTGTCGGAGTCTCTTATTTTCCTTCTCTAGCTGTTTCTTATCCTTCTCCAGTTGAGAAGTCTCTTGCTCTAATGATTTATTTTCTTTTTCTAGCTGTTCTAGTCTTTTGCTGGATATTTTTAACTCTTCTAGGTTTTTTTGCAATGTTTGATTTTCCATCTCTAAGTCTTGTAGTTCACTCTCTAACTGCTGAATTTTTTTATTGCTGTTCTCTAGAGCCTTCTGTAGCCTTTGATTTTCTGTATCTAGACCCTGGTAGCTAACTTCTAAGCGTTCTGATTTCTTGAATGATGCCTTCATAAGCTCTAAACCCTTCTTAAGCTGCTCTTTTTCACTTTCCAGTTCTTTGTTTTCTAGTTGCAGTTGAGCCATTTTCATGCTTGCGCACTTCAAAGACTCCACGTTTCTTCGCAGTTCCAAGTTTTCCTCATCAAGTTGGGAATTCTCTTTCTCTAGAGATTCTAACTGAAAAGTAAGGTTTTTAAAGCTATCCAATCTTTTTTTAAATTTCCTATTTTCTCTTTCTAGCTCTGAATTTTCTTGTTCTAAGGCCTCAATTTTTTCACAAGTAATTTTTAAATTGGTTATCTTCTTCTGTAACAGTTCATTTTCTTTTTCAAGATGATGCAACTCATTTTCAAGTTCTTCCGCTCGTTCTCCTTTTTCTTTATAATGTTCTAACTCTTTCCTAATTTGTCTTTTTTCAAATTCAATCTTGCTTAACTTGCTACTTGTTTCTTTGATAGATTCATGGAGAATTTTATTTTCTTTTTCAATGTCTTTCACCCTTGCTTCAGCACTTATTTGGGAGCGCTGCCTTAAGGAAGACACGGTTTGATTCAGATGTTCATTTTCCTGCTCCAATATTTTAATCTAATTTTAAAAGAGAAAGGAGAAAATTAAAAACATAATTGAATAAGAAATATTTTAAACTTTTTAAAAATATATTTGTATTAATTTCAGCGAGGAAGGAAGAGGGAGAGAGAGATGGAAACATCAATAATGAGAGAGAATCATTGACTGGCTGCCTCCTGCACGCACCCCACTGGGGATCGAGCCCACAACCTGGGCATGTGTCCTTGACCTGAACCCTTTAGTCCGCAGGTCGACACTCTATCCACTGAGCTAAACTGGCTAGAGAAAGAACTAAATATTTTAAATTATAGTTATTTCTTTTCAAAATCTAACAGGGAACTCATAACATAAAAGGATGCTAGCACTGTCTATCTTACTTTTAATTCTGACAAATATTTACTGAGTGACCATTGTATACGTGTACTGCCAGATCATTAAAGTTTGTGGCTTTAGGGAGTTTGTAATATAAAGGAATGGTTAAGAGAGATGTGTTTAATATCAATAAAAATGATCTTCAGATTACTTAATTGCATGTTTCAAATTCAAATATGAGTATCAGGGAAATATACATACATATCTTCTTGAGGATATAAGCTTTTACCTTACACAAAGAAATTGTTTTTTAATTTTTAAATATATATTTTATTGATTTCAGAGGAGAGAAAGAGAAACATTAATGATGAGAATCATTGATCAGCTGCCTCCTGCACGCTCCCCCTACTGGGGTTGGAGTCCAAATAACGAGCATATGCCCTGACCAGGAATCGAACTATGACCTCCTGCTTAATAGGTTGATGCTCAACTGTTGAGCCTCACCAAGCTGGGCACAAATAAATTTTTCAATGCCTATACACAGAGGGTCCTTAGTAAATATTTGCTGTATCATATATGTGTGTGTATTCAACCCCCCAAAGAATGCTAATTTGGAAACATCAAAATAACAAACTCTCCTGGTACATTTGAAAACTAATCCATTCAATTCAAGGTATGGATTAATATACTAGTAATAGTTCTCAAAACTTAGTGTTTTGAACAAGCTCCTGAGAACTTGATAAAAGTACAGATTCATACTTAGCTCTAGAATTTTTGTTCTGTAGCTCTAAAGAAATCTCTAATTTTATAGGTGGCCTAAGGCTATCCCTAGATAATATAAAGCAAATCATTTTACATATAAAAAATAAATACGAATATTAAAACAGCAAGTCAATCTATCCAGTTCTGTTTCCTCAAGCACGAGAATGATCAATAAATACTTGAAAATAAATCTGACAGTATCCAAGACTATTGCTGCCACCACTTCTCCCTTTATTAGTGGGGCCAGAGCACAGCGGCATTTCTCCCAACCCCACTCCCATTTCTCCCAACCCCACTCCCATTTCTCCCAACCCCACTCCCATTTCTCCCAACCCCACTCCCATTTCTCCCAACCCCACTCCCATTTCTCCCAACCCCACTCCCATTTCTCCCAACCCCACTCCCATTTCTCCCAACCCCACA